GCTTGAGCAAAATCAACCAAGAGAAGACATTGACTCTTGAAATTTCCTTACTAGTGGTCAGTGGAGGAGGAGACCACGTGATGTTATATTATGTTATATGTTATTGAAATCACCAAGAACGATAACAGGTGAATGGTTTTCACTCAGTTCTCCAAGGTAAAGAAGAAATTGTTCAAAAGTATCAGCTGAACAGGACTGACTACGGTAGCACAGTACGAGGACAACCGCTGTAGTACGCAAGACGATCTGGATGGTGACGCACTGAAGATATGTGGAAAAATTACGCGAAGATATGAGCGAAGTCGGGATAGTGTTTCGAACCAAAGCTAAGTACTCCACTAATAGTAGTAGTACTACCCTCCCCATCACATCGATACACCAAGTATGAGTAACCCGGCCAGTGAAGTGTTTTTTATTTTATGTGGTTTGCACCAAGACTCTGTCAGAAATACTCCACATGGGTTTCAAGAAAGTAAGTAGTGAAGATCAGGAATCTTGTTATTAACCGATCTGGCGTTGAAGAGGATGAAACTATCAAACAATTTCTGCTACAAAAGGAATAGTTAAGTCGTGACACGTCCATATCCTGACTTGCTTGTGTGAAGGAAGGAACATCTGATCCTGGGATAGAAAGTAATGCGAATTGGGAGCTCCCTAACCTGTGGATTTGGAGGTCTCACACTATATATTGCAGTTTTCCTAAATTCGCATTCCACTTACCAGCTTGTTTTCGCAGAGTGCGATCCAACTCCAATTCCTCGGTGTGTAATCACGTCGCGCATAGGAATGCACAAAATTCTTAGTCAGACTACGACGCCCTGATCTTAGGTATCGCAACAGCCTATCCCTTAGCTCTTGAGATGGTAGACAGATCTTGATAGCACGTCCGCGTCCCTTCCTTCCTCTTGGCTCGCCAACTGGATGGCGAGGAAATATAATATTGCCCTCCAGAAATTCGTCCATCAGCTCATCATCACCAGCACTTTCTATTACCTCTCTTAGGGATTCTTTATAGAATTTCCTTGTCGAGATGTCATCCTTTTGTTCACCTACGCCAATCCAAGCAATTCGTCTCGCCTTGTCATCTATCTTCTTTTCATCAGCTTTCACCTTTACCATCGTTGAATACAGCGCATTTCTGTTAACACTCGTTCCGAAAGACTTAAAACATTTCGCTCTGAAGCTGAGATGCGGGCTAAAATTTCATTTCGTCGAGTGTTAATCTCTTCAATCTTGTAGATGATCTTCTCAAAAGACTTTAAGAGCGCCCTCTCACCGATCAGCACAAGAATCATATTTTTCGAATCATCTTCAATGCCCACAATGGGAGGTCCTGGTTATCATTCTCGTTGCTCTCGATATTCTTGTTGCCCTTTGTCCCACGCTCCGTTTATTATGGAAGACTCAAGGATCTTGCAACAACAGGTCAAAACAAGGAAAAAAATTGATACAGTAAATGATGTCAGCAATACGATTCACAATACGGTATGCCAGCAATGCCAACACGAATATGTTGTGCCAGCAGTGCCAACACGAGAACGGGTTGCAACCTGTTGGTGGGTGTGTCCAGTCAAGGTATATGGCAGAACTAATGGCAGTGGGTTGTAGCCGACTAGTCCCCTTCGATTCAGCAGGAAAGGACGACCCGAGCAGTGAAAAACCCGGAGAAGAATTATATCCTTTATTGAACGTGAATAACACAACAAAAAAAAACTAACCTCAGTGAGACGTGCCTACAACAGGGTGATTCCAAGTAGCCCGCGCTTGGAAACAATGCCCGATTGGTGAATGGGCTCATCATGTGAACTGAGTCCATTCATCCACCAAACCTTCCCCCATGATTTTCGCTTTTGTCCGCAAAAAGGAAGATTTCTCCACTCAGAGGGGGGGGGGGAAGGTGGTATCAAGTACGTTGTCTTGGGGGGGGGAGCGTATATAGCAGAAATATCACAACGCGTTGGCGTGCCCTGAACACAGGACCGGACCCTGAAATGCAGGAAACAAGAAGATTTCCTTATCTAATGATACCAAAATTTTGGGAAGCCCATTATTCGAAAAATTCGCCGTTGAGAATTTTTTCCGTTTACGAGGAAACTGCCTGTTGCGCACAAGTTGCCGCCCTTCAGGGGCCATAACTGTTTACGCGTAACTTTTGGAGGAGGGGGGAGGGTAGGAAATACTGGCAACTTGGATTTGTGCTTCTAAACGTGCCTTAAAATTCTGTTACAGCTCACTTAACCAGCGAGAAATGCTGCTGCAGGCTGAAAGAGTAGAATTTTTCCACCCCCTTCAACGCAGTATCACTTCCAGTATGTCTGAAAGTACGATCCGCGATCAGAGACTATATAGAAGTGTTGACGTTGAAAATATATCGTTGGGAGGGTGGTGTAGTATGAACAACCTTGTACCAGTTTTCGCGGCAAAAAGTTGTAAAGGAGGGCGCTGTAGCGGTTTCAGTGACGCCCCCTTTTTCCAGTGACTCCACCTCCAGACTCCGCCTTCAGGCCCGCCTTTCAGTGAAAAACGAGTTGCCGGAAGAAAAAGCATGAAAATCGTAACATGCACGGTCGTGGAGTTCTTTGGGGAATAGGCTATGCGCATGTGGGCGTACTGTTGGAGATGGAGTTCGTTGGGCACGCCCGAACTGTGATCCAAATGGGGTTCTAGGGCACCCCTAATCATTGTCTGTGACGGCGAATGATTGCGCGCCTAGCCTTTGAAGACTTTGATTGATTGAGGGCTTCGACACATATTCTCGTCAAGGGTGTCAGCAAATAGTTCATTCACCCTCTGTAATGAGCCATGCGTACGGCTCCCACGCAGAGATGTTGGGAAGGTGTAACATTCACATATGGCTTGCAAGCAGAAAGTCCGAACGTGTACGTATTTTATCTATGGTCTTTATCAATCTATGATGTCGTTGCAGCGTTGCGGGTGGCCATCATACTTCCCAGTTATCGGCCGTTCCAAAGTTCTGCGCTTGCAGGTTGCTTCTGTCTTCAGGTGTCTCTTCAGGTGTTCTGCACATGGAGATCAATGAATGATTCCCTCATCATTCAAGCTGGACAATATCTGAGTATCGCTGCTCTCCCCACTTCGGAATGAGCCTTGCGCTTACGGCCCCTCCCCTCCTTCATGATTCAATACGACCCCACCCGCTTGTGATTATCACAACGATGCGCGCCCTGCCTGTATACCCAAGAAATGGTCCTAGAATGGGTTAAAACTTGAATTTCTTGCGTTTCCAAGCAATTTTCATCGTTAGACCAAAAAATCCCCAATTCTTAATTTTATACATAAGGGACTTTTGTAAGAGATTTCGATGTCTTTAGAGAAGGAGAACTTTTTTGTGCGATTTTCCTTTTGTCCTAGGTCCTGCACTGCCCAAGTTCGTGGCCCCAGAAAGTTGAAACCTGGCGTTCTCAGGAAATTTCCATCTTTAGATTGAAGCCATAACCTCTTCATAGGCCACTTTGGTACCTGTTTAATGAAAGCCCCTAGAGATGATGAATGCAGCCTACAACTTCGCAAAATGTTGTATTTGGACAAACTACAACCTTCAAAAAATCACCATGGTGTAGTGGTGGATGAAATAGCGCACTCCAACGCTCAGCTTTGATGCAGCTGAAAAAACTGCATTCGAAACGTCGTTTCATGACCAAGCTTAGCTAATCAATTGCGCTGGGAAGAAGGGAGATTTCCATGGACACCCTCTTTTAGGGTTCTTATCGATGGCCCAATTTTCCTCAACGTAATGTTTGACCCTTGATCTAAGCGATCGGATCGCGAAGTATAAACGCCCTCCAGAATCGTACTGTTATGATAGCTGGTGCATTTGCAAAATTGGGTTGCGGGCGCTGTCGTTGTCCTCAATTCTTCGTCACCTCGTACCGCAACTGTTGTTCGCTCGAGACCTTTAGCGAACTGAAACAAACGGTATTCGCTTGGTAACAACAGTGCCAATAATAACGCTCACTTCTGCCGCTTCCTCCAATATCGAATTATCTTCCGTCAGTTTGTTGAGGTTATGAACGTCCTCATCATAGTTGAATTGACTCACTGCTGATGAATCTGAAAATGAATCACTACCTTGGCGTTCGAAGATAGAGTTCAGAGAGAGTTTTAGGAAAAGCTTCGATGTGTGTCAATCACCCCAAAAATTACCTAGGCTGGCTGGCCTCGGAGGGACTGTGGTCACATCATGAGTCGGGACTGCAGCAACTACTCTCTTCTGAAATCTTCCTGAGGCACGGTACAGGCGAGGTTCTTCTGAAATTATTCGAGGGAATGAATTAATAATTTATTTTATTCATTCGAAAAATACTCGTGAATTATTCATTCTAATATTCAATATATTCAATCTAAAAACATTTTGGGTGAATTTTATTTAAAATCAAGCGTAGAAAGCTTGCTGATG